GGGTAGAGAAGGAGAAAATGAAGAGGATTGATAAACCAAAGATAAGAGGATCAAGCAAAGAGGGGCACAAAGTTGGTCAGGGGAAAAGAGAATCAGGGGAAGGGCGGAGAGGTAACGTAAAATACTAATAGGTAAGGGAAAAGAGGGGTAAAGAACAAGGAGGGAGGGAGGTAAAGCTCGGCCTGGTGAATCACACAGTAGAGTCCTGACGTAGAGAAATGTATTCAGGGGAGTGGACGAAGTCAGTCCAGTAGAAACAGGAGGATCTGAACTTGTCAGATGTGTGGTTAAGGGAGCTCATGAGATCTTCCATTAGCTAAATGTTGTGTACATGGTCTAACCATTGATGCACAGTAGGGGGGGTGCATGCTCGGGCAGCATTGATTAGATATACAGATATATATATAGATATACACTGAGTGGCCAGATTATTATGAGCACCCCATCAGCACTTCGTTGGGCCGCCTTTTGCCTTCAATACTGCGGCATTGACTTGGCATTGACTCCACGAGATGGTGAAAGGTGATGCGAGGAATCTGACACCGCGCCTGATGAATAGCGCTGTCCAGTTCTGTGAGATTTGATGGTTGTGGAACCAGTTGCCTGATTGGCTCCTGCAACTTCGTCCCACAAATGCTGCAATTGGATTGAGATCTGGTGATTGTGGGGGCCACCTAAGCAAGGTAAAGTCTCCCTCATGTTCTTGAAACCACTCCTGCACAATGCGAGCACCGTGGCATGGCGCATTGTCTTGTTGGAAGAAGCCATCTCCATTGGAATACGCCATCAACATGATCGGGAGAACTTGATCAGCAACAATACTTTGGTATGTTGTGCTATTCAGACGTTGTTCCACACGAATTAAAGGGCCCAAATCATGCCAGGAAAACACGCCCCAAACCATAACACCGCCCCCACCAGCTTGAAGGGTTGTACTCATGCATGTGGGGTGCATGCTTTCATGCTGTTCCCGCCAAATTCTCACTCTGCCATCTGCATGATGCAACTGGAAACATGATTCATC